CACCACTGTCAGGGTCAGCACCTGTCTGTCTGAGTCTTTCGTGTCTTCTTCCCCGTTTGGCCAGCAGGTGTCGCCATTGTCAGTCTTTAGTGTGTTTCCCCTGCTCTCTAGTTGGCCACCTTTGTCTGCTTTGTCTTTGTATTTTTGTAGATTTTGTCCCCTAGTGTTTCATTTGTATCAGTTTTCTAGTTCCTGTGTTTTGTGATTTGTATTTGGTTTCGGTTTTTGGCTTTGTGCCCGTGGTTGTGTTTTACCTGTCTGTTATTCCCCCGGTGTTAGATTCTGTTTCCTAGTTTGAGTTTCATGATGTTAGTTTTAGTTTCAGCTGTTGCCCGTTTTACCAGCCCTTGTTAATTTTTTTCACCTGTCCGGCATTACATTTGCTAGCATTTTGTATTTAAGTTCCTGATCCTGTTCTGTTCTTTTTGGAGTCATTGTTGCTGTTGCTGATGGTTCTGTTGATTATGGTTTTCCTGATTCTTCTGTTTGCCATGTTTGTGTCCCTGCCAGCTCCTTATTGCCCTGTTCCCTTGACCTTTTGTAGTTAGTCTTGGATTTTTCCCATTTTGCTTTTGACCCCTCATGGTCCGTTTTGTTTTGTAGTGTTCCCTGTGTTTTCTGTTCTATTAATAAACCCCCATGTTCCTGTGAGCCGCCAGTGGATTTTCCATCTTCTTCCCTGCCTTAACAATGCCCCGCCCTCATGAGAGAAACCCTCGAGTCCGTGACAACCACACACTAATGTAATCTCTCTGTTTTCAGAATATACAATTCCAATTACAGTGGCTGCTTTGGCAATATGTGCCTGCATCATTATCAAGGATTATTTATTGTATCATGAAGAAAAGCGCTTGGAGGGATTTTACTGTAAGTATGAAATTTTGTTCTGAACCATATTCAGTCTGTTTGTCACTGGTAATTTATATGAGTCAGTCTTTAAATTGAGTCATCAGAGTGCAATTAAAATCCATGTAGTTCTCAAAATTAAACTCTCCCCTGTTTATATGTAGTTTAAAATAATGCTTTGCATAATAATGCTTATTATATACTCAATTGACAATTATTTTTGAGCAAAATGTAATTAGTTTCCCTATTTTCTAAAACACTTCACACCCTTGAAGAACCTGAAGTCTTATCTATGACCATGTTGATATATTATAAAAGTCTATCATCATTAATGTTTTCCTGGTATTTTACTGGTACGTCCTTGTTCTTTCCCTATTCCCTTTTCCTCATTCTCAAAAGTATACAAATTGACCTACATGGTGCATAAAACACTTCACACCCTTGAAAATGAACCTGAGGCCGATACATTTTTACAGTTTATCATCAAGAATGTTTTCTTGGTATTTTGCTGGTAAGTCCTGGTTATTTGGAGACTCCATGATGAAGCATAATACGCCCTTTATTTATTCAGCAAGATGTTCCTCATGCGACTGAGACTGCAACCTCTCCTAAGTGTCGCCTCTCTCTTGAATTTACAGTTCAGGACAATGTGTTTTTATGAAAATCGATTTTATTACTCATTTTACACGTGAGCGCCAAAAGCGGAACTAATGCGACGCACTGTTCTTCACGGGTAAATTAGCGCGGCACAGCCAAACATTCTAGCAGATTCAGAAACAACACAGCAATGGTTCGGTTTCGCGCCATTGGACACAGACCAAACAAGTCCTCGTTGCAAAGTCTGTTGCAACCAAAGGAAGCAGCACAACAAATTTATTCCAGCATCTAAAGCAGAGGCACACAGCGGAGTGAAAGAAGTGCAGCTCCCAGCGAAATGAAAATAGCCGCAGCACCAGCACAACATCCAAAGTTAAGCAAGCAACCGTCCCTGACAGGTTTTCGAACTGTGTGCCATATGATAAGAATGGGGCACGGTAGAAGGCGCTAACAAACGCTGTCGTGATGTATGTTGCAAAAGACATAGTGCCCATACATACTGTGGAAAAGCCTGGATTCATTAACGTGCTAAAAGTTTTTACAAGTTTCTAAAAGTGTTTACAATGGCGTGGTCTGCCATCTCACTTACAAGCATCTTTTTTGGCTTGTCAGATTGCACTTTAACTCTAAGTAAAAAAATAAAGTGAAGTGAAGTTAAAACTTGTTTTGAAACATTTATTTGCCATCTGTAGTTTGATTTTGAGTAGATGAAAATCTATTAAAATTGAATATCAAATTTATTGTAAAAAATAGGACATATCGCCCAGCTCTAGCAGGGCCTTTGCAACAGTAAAATTACTTGTGCTAAGTATAGTGATACAGATGCAGAGTTTGATCAGCAGGGCAGTATTGCAGTGCAC